TTAGCGAGAATGGATATAGGGGGACATTTATTACAATGGATACGAGGCTATCTTACCAACCGGAAGTCCTCTGCACTGTTCCAAGGCTACAAGAGTGAAACTAAAGTAATGCAACTAGGCACCCCACAAGGAGTACTTAGTCCTACCTTGTTTAATGTTCTAATTAATGCTTTACTAAAATCAATCCCAACTAGTCCGGCAAACATCACTATCAGCTATGCAGATGACATCCTTGTGCATACTAAAACTCACCGCGAAATGCAAACAGTCTTAAATTGTATACATACAGCTTGTGAGAGCCTTGGTCTTGTAATCAACGCTGCTAAAACAAAGGTATTTAACAGACAAATTGGCAACCGCAAAAGTGGACCACGAAAACTTAAGATAGACAACATACCAATAGACTATCTCTCTTCTTTCAAATACCTTGGAGTCTCTGTCCCTTGTACCTCAACTGCAGTCAATAAGTTACATCAACAATGTAGTGACAGACTCAAGGCTCTCAGAACTGTAGTGGGGTACAGCCCGAAATATGGTGTTAATATTAGAATAGCAAGAATGATGTATTTAGAGTATATAAGGTCTCTGATAGACTATCATGCACCAGCTTTGGTCCTGCAGAATTGCAAAAGTATTGATAGACTGGAAAAAATGCAAAATGAAGCACTCAGAATTATACTTGGCTCTCCTATAACTACCAAAGTTCTCAACATGCGGAAAGAATTAAATATACTTAGCATTCGAGATAGAATATTTGAAATTAATCTTATGATGGGACTAAAGCTGTTGCGTGATAACAAAAACAACATTGTGTTAGTTGCACTGTTAGAACACATACGAAATGGAACTAGCGAGTCTAAATGGATTCAAAGAACTGCCACTCATATTAAAATGATGGGACTGCACGATGTATATACAGATGAAAGAGTACAGCACTTCCTTCCACCCTGGCAGATAGTACCTTTTGACATCCTGACCCCTGCATACCCCACCAAGAAACTAATCACAAGCAACCCTCATGCTCAGCTTGCTGCTAAATTAAGCACCATAGAACACATTCACAATATACAAGCTGAAAACATTGCACAGACCATATACACTGACGGATCACTCAATACAGCTACAGGGAGGGCAGGAAGTGCTGTTATTGCTCATCAGCCCGATGGCAGCACAATTCAAAGAAATATCCGAATTAGTAACTGGGCGTCCACAATGCAAGCCGAGTTGGTAGCGATACTGGTAGCACTCGAAATTATTGACAACACTGAAGTAGACAGCTTAATTATTTCTGACTCCCTATCCTCACTACGAGCAATAAACAGTTTGCAATCAAGTAATAACGTGCTTGTCTTGGAAGCTAGACGTAGATATGTTAGAATACTTAGCAAGAGGGTAAATATAAAAATGTTGTAGATTCCTTCTCACATTGGCATGCAGGAACATGACAAAGTTGACGCCCTTGCCAAGGCTGCAGTAAATATAGACAGTATTGAATGGAATCTTGAGTTATCAAATAGGTCCCTTAAAAGTGTCATTAGACGAGAACTCCTAGATGGATTTGAAGAAAGTAGAACAGTGCAAACTGGAACTAGTAGGTCCATTGTTCATCACAATGAAATGTGTGAAGTAAAACATGTGTATGGGGCAAGTAACAAAGTCAGTAGACTAACATGTTGTCATAGCTCGTATAAGACTTGGCTACAAGTATCTCTGGCATTAATGTATGACGACTTACTGTAAATATGTAGCTCTTGTAATAGCACTTTCTCTGTAACTAGCTGACATTGTATCTGTAAGGTGTGAAGGATTGAAGAAATTGTTTATGTAATAATCTAAGATGAGGTCTGATAAAGACCTTGTGTGCCCTCTGTAATGCTTTTGCGCTACCGCTCACAGGATGAGTATGGGGTGCACAATAAACTAGCCGCCTTTGGCGGCAACAATCAAAATACGGGTAAGTGCGCGTACCTCTCCAAACACCCGGGCGTCAAACCTGATGTCTGAAACAATTATCAAGAATAGCAAAAAGTCGGCGGGAGATGACAATTAGAAAGAAGGGGGGGGATGAAAGATAAGGAAGAGGAAGTAGCTTCCAGCAATATTAGTGAAGACGGCAGCAGGAGTATAAGGCTTCCAAAGGACAGAGGACCGTCCCATGGAGCATCATATCCCAGCAGCCGCCCAAGCCACCTTACGATAACAACAGGCTGGAAAGGGAAAGGGTACTTCCTTGAAGCATAAGACTGTGTGAGCAGTGCTGATAGGGATCAGCACTCGTGGGAAAAGGGGGGGCACCGACTAAGCAGTATAAAGTTTCTTGTACAATTTGTAGTCCATAGCCATGCCTCTTTGTAATAGGATGTCATTAGCTTAGGGTTTATTAATTTGCATTAAATAAGTTAGTATTATATATTTTTCCTTAACTTACCTCTTAATGTATTTAGACTACCTGTGATCATCGAGTAAATATATTCCCCTTGTAATTCATTTAATTAATTTAAAAGAAATTCCATTCACCCAGTATGAAAAGATTAAATTTCCTTAGCACTTTGTAATAGTCGACTGGTTTCCTCACGAGTCAATTAGCCTAATTATCAGTTCTTGAAGCGGTGGTGGCATTGTTTATGGGTAACCTTATCTTCCATCTGGTCTATAAGAATTGTAAATATATTTTTAACATCTTGGTCATTTCTGGCTCTTTTCTTGCTCCCCGTGATGACTGGTTCGAGCATTTTCTGTTGAGGGGAGACTTCCCAATTCTTAGGGTTTTACCATGCAATTTATTAGTCTAAAAGAGTTACATACGAGTCAAAGCAACCATTAGTGTTACCATAGTTGTTCAATAACAATGGTACTTGTCATAAACGTTGCAATAATAGCAGCAGTGTTTGTGACATTTTACAGTGGTGACCCTCGGGGATCGTTACAAGTAACTTCTCAAACTGTTACAATAGAAAGAGGGGGAGATTGCCACGAAGACGAAAAGGACTTGACGGAATATCTTATCTCCAGGTGGTGTCATACACCTTTCCAGGTTAAAAAGAACAGGTCTTTGCAGCAAAGGCAGTGCGAATATAGACCCAATTCTCAAAGACATCAGTCGTGCTGTTGCATTTGGGAAAGCCAATTAGAGAAGGGAAGTGGGGGGTGATAAGTGTTCCAAGAACCATATCAGACGAACACTGACCATACCTTGAGGTTACCTTGAGATGCTTCCGGTTCAACTTGTTAAGAGCAATGGATAAGTTCTTAAGGAATATCCCAAGGGAACCCAGTTTCTGAATAGTAGGAACAACCGCCTCAAAACAGGGAAGACCGAGAAGGAAACACCAGGAGGAAGACCCTCAGGCTCAGGACGCAAAGAAGCAGGAGGGAAGGTGGTGGTGTCAGGGTCTAAGGCCTGGGAACTGTTGTGGAACTGAGAAAGTGGGAGGGTGTGAAGTGGAAGACCACACATGGACATAAGAATTTGTAGTGCGCATGTGAGGGAGAAGGCAGGGTGGGCATCACTGCAAAGTGAGCTTGGGAAGAAGAGCCTTCCATTTTAAGAATGCTCCGAATCTCTACACAATGAGCATATAGACAAACTCACTTGCGTACTTGAAAGAACAATGCCCAAATCTCCAACACCCATTGCATAAGCGAGGAGGGGATGTACTGAACAGAGCATTTGGCACCAGCAAGAATTACGGATGGAAGGCGGCTATTCAAAAGTGATCTTCAATACACGACGAGACTGACCACGACCATCACGAGGGGATAGTGAACATACAATCTGGAGGAAAGAATGGCCTAAGGCTATATTTAATACCCTCGTGGCAGCCTTTCGCCTGGTCACCCACCCATGAGTCTGAAAAGTTGAATGAAGGTCAGAAATCGGAACAAAACACGAATATAATCTCGGCCATGATTAAAGCTCCCCATACCCACCATAGAGCCACAATTAGATAGGACACCTGACAAGACTGCCCCCCCCCAGGGGTGCATTATGGATATACCCCCCCTGAAGTAATCACTACGAACCGTCGGTCCATCAAGATTTGGCTTGGCAACAAAGGCAAAGTTTGACAATAAAAGCGTCCCCCCCTCGCTCGACACCGTCAGATACCACAGTTCTACGGGTAAGTGTGAATCTCCAAAGAGCCAGCATCAAAACAGAAGGCAATGGAAAGAATACTCAAGAATGACAAAAAGTCAGCTGGAAGGAACAATTAAAGAGGAAAGGTGGGGAGGAAAAATGAAACAAGGAAAAGGAAAAAGCAACCAGCAAAATTAGTATAGACAGCAGCAGGAGCATAAGGCTTCAAAGGACAGAAAATATTGTTCTACTGAGCATAACATCCTCCTACCAAGCCACCTCACGACGACAATGGGCTGGAAAGGGAGGGGTTATTGAGGGATAAGTGACTCCCTCAAAATTGAGTGAATATGACCAAATTTTAGCAACACACTAATTGACCAAACCACAGTACATGTACTGTCAGCCAATTTAGTTTCAAACTAAATCAAAGTAAGAAATTATAAGATGGTACCAAGCATGGAAGAATTTAATACAGTACCAAAAGATGGCGATAGTCTTAAGTATAATAAAAATATTATACCTATACCCACTAAGCATAATATTTTTCCATACAAGATAGCACCCAGGAAGGCAAGTACCTTTCTTGAGTACTTAACTAAATAAACAAAAATATAACAGTTTACCAGGTATCAAATTATACACCATAATTTAATGTAAAATGTATGAGGTTCTCTTGTTCAAGGTTTGTACCACAAGCCTTTCCATAAACAGCAAAGGTTGGATCTACTGGTCTATTGCTGCTTGAGTTAGGTCATAGGAGGGTGAGATAAGAGTTTATGGAAAGGTTTGTGCCACGTTTTGGTCAAGAAGTTGCTACCTTAGCCACCTCTGATGATATACATGATCAAAACATTCCTTTGATATCACTGCTGCAGTGCAGACATTCTAAAATAAAATTTAGGGAGATTGAGTTAACAAAAAACTTTGTTATTTATTTGAAAAATAATCCTACGTACCATTCAAATCACTCACTTCAGCCAGGCAGGTTACACAGTAACCTCAAAAAACGGTCATGTTAACAAAACGGAATGTTGACTTGTGTACAAATTAAAACTAAAGCTTCGATCCTTCCCTGCATGGTGTGGAGATGGAGCTTACTTGCATTCCAACACTTACAAACATGACTTAGAAAATAAATAAAGGTCAAACTTCTAATTGGTGCTATACTAGACCTAACACAGCAAATATTAATTAGTTCAGCCTATAGAAAATCTCTTGCACCCCACTCAACACAGGAAATTTACAAGCAAAGTGGCAGCTGGTTAGGAAATACCTTAAATTACCATTCATAAATGGTTAAAGTAGTTTTAAAAAAATTTCCACTGAAAAACTTTACTTCACTGAACAGCAAAAATTATACTACAGAAATAATTTCCAGCCAATGACTTTTGGAAGCTAGAGATTTGCACCTGTCTACATTTGTACATGGTGCATACATCAAATGCCCGCCCTCATTTCCACATACATTCTTACAAATACACGAATCTAAAAAACTGACAGGTACACAGGTAGGAAAAATTACTTTAGATGCTAGTGAAAATGCCAAGTACACACAAGAGAGTAGCAAAGTTGTATACAATACATAAAAAAAGAATACTCCATGAGCAATATGACAAGAGGACAGTGAGATACTAAGGACTAGGCTGTGGCCTCGGCAACAGCTTCCGTCGTTTCAGACTCGGAAATCTTAGCCTTCTTTGGCGGAGAGACTTCTTTAACGTCATCAGAATCTTCCTCTGCCGCGCGCTTCTCTGCAAAGTAAATTAGTGTTAGGATCACAAAAAATGCATAACCCATGAACATACCAGCAACACAAAGAAGCAACTAACAACTACATGGCAGTGAGAAAAACACACTTCAAGAAAGGGATAATGGACAAATGTCCACAAATAATAGCAAATTTAATGTAAAACAGAATCAAGCCTACTCTTTAAATTTGTTAAAAACAAACTTCAGGTAAAGGATAAAATTCATTAGTTGAAAATGGGAAACAAATTCACGGATAATGAAAAGGAAATGTGTGAAACACTAAATGCATTCCCAGTAGTTCCTGTGTGTTTATACAGAATTAAGTTTTCAAGAGATCCATATAAAGGTACCTTACAAATTTCAGAAACTAACAGTAAAAAGCAGTGTCTGGAGACGAAGTGGAATAATGCTCAAGGAACTAAGTAGGAACAAAGCAGTTGGCCCAGATAGAGTTTCACTTTGGATTCTAGAAGAGTGCACATATGAGCTTAGCACTCAAGTTTCGGCTGATATATCGAAGTCATCGTTGCACAAGACAACTAGCGATATGGAAAATGGCTAACATACCTCCAATCTACAAAAATGGCAGCAGAGAAGATCCTCTAAATTATACGAGATCTATTGTTGACAAGCATAGTAATCAAATAATTATATAAAAAAGGCATTGAGCCAGGAAGACTATGCAGCAACATCAAAGTCGTAGGATATTCAACTAAATATCACTAAGGGTGCCAATAAATGCAAAAGCAGAGCAAAAGTGCATAAGACATGTGTATCGGACTTACTAAAAGAATCTATTGGTAAGGACAATGCAGTTTGGATGGAAGATAAGGGGTAGAGTGGTGCTCTATTAGGAGCCCACGAGTTAAACGTGTTGACCACCACAGGATGGACTGGATGCAAGGACTCCCCAGCCATGAAGGCACTGCGAGTAAGGTTCTTATGTCCCTCGATTGTTTCAAGCATAGGTTAGACGTTTATGAATGAGATTGGGTGGATATTGTTACTGTATCAACACCATCGTCTGAGTGTGGTATGTAAAGTCCAGCGTCATCCATGGATCTGCACTCCAACCCCCCTGATATTGGATGCTACGTGGGCAACACCACCTATTGGTAGTGGTATGACGTCGGCAAATGGCTCTGGTTTCCTGCCTTAGAGAGGTCGTTGTGGATGACCTCTGATGGTGGGTGTATCAAGACCAGCGCCACCTAGATTGTGCTACAGAGCATAATGTCAACTCCCAGGGTAAATGAGTGTTACCTCATGGCTTCCCCAGTGTACCGTCCATTTAACTGATGACGTTTTATGTCCACAGAGGTGATGTGTGGAGGCAGGTGTACTGAGAAAGGCAGTTTACCTCAGGCAGTCCACGTACTCTCAGCTTGGTCCTGGAAGAAGACTAAGGTAAGCCACCGCCGACCTGAGCAGTTTGTTAGCTGCTGACTTACGCCGTGTTAGTAGAGATCGGCGTACCCCGGGATTGGCCTAGGAGAGTAACGGACAATAGTAAGGTGCCTGTTGTAAAGTGCTGCAAGCCGGTCGCTAGAGGCTTTTGCCAGGGGTTAGCTCCCCTGTACATGGTTGTTTGTGACCTCCAATCAGCGTGTGGCTGAAGTCCTCTGCCAGCGAGTAGCTGGAAGGCAATAGTGAGGTGTAGTGATACCGTGTCAGTGGGCTGGCCCACGTTAAAGGTGAACTCGCCAGTGTTTTCCAGTACGAGTGGACAAGGTACTGGACAGTGGAAACACTGGGGTTGGTGAACACTGCATGTGTGTGCTTTTGGTGTCCTGTATGAAAGTGACAATTCTGTAAATAAGTGTAGTAATAATCTATTTTTTATATTTTAATGTTGAAAGTGAAAATATATTGGTGAAGGGAACTGTGTGTATTCATTCCCCCTTATTCTATTGCACTATACAACCATTTCTTAAATGGGTACTACAGACCGAGTCGGATACTATAAACGCGGTTAATCCTTCAAGAACCCGGTTACAGGTCCATAGTGACTGTAACAATATAAATAGAAGCCGTCTCGTATGGGCCAATAGGCCTTCTGCAGTTATCTTCATTCTTATGAGTAAACAACAACAACAAAGGAATGCTGACAGCACAACAACAGTTGACAAAAGAGCATACAAAACTGCATAAAGTTCTCGTGTAAAGATACTAGGCACACATAAGTATGGTCAGGAAAGACAACAGAGCAGCCTACACCATCAGCAGACTTAGACCAATCTGTGTAGATGGGAATGGAGCATGTGACAAAAATTATGAAAGGAAATGGTATTTCAGAACTGAAGAGAGGTAGAAGACTGCCATGTGGTTCAAGGTTTTGCAAAACTTTGGAAGTGGGACCCTCCACGGGAAAAAGATGGAACACGAGGAATCCACAGTATTGTAACAATCTTGCAAGTGTTAACCCTACAGAAAAAGAAAGGTGGTGAACGGAAACGGGGCCTACTGGAGGGATAATGATCAAAGGAGGATGCTGTAGGGACAAAGCAAGGTAGTGAAGACCATAACATTCATGATGATTCTGAAAAAACAGGGCCCTAGTTTCAGTATACAGGCTCAAGATGGCAGATGAACAGAAGGCACCAGAGAAGAGGCGTAACTCGGTGCAGAAAATCAAGAGGATAGTCAAAGGAGGCTACAAAGTGGATCTGCAGTTGGTGCCACCTGGAGGACCAGATTTCACACAATAATGAGTTTAGTATGTTATGCTGTATTTTCTTATATATCATAAATACATTGCCCAATGGCAATGTCCCTTGTACAAAAAGCTAACAACCCTTTTTTCTCTCTCCTTTGTTTCTTTGCAGATTTTCTTGTGACTTCTACATCTTGGAGAATGCCAATCCGGCACTAAGCATGTGAAGTTGGAACAAAATTGGTCAACATGTTAATCAGCCTCAGCCACAGGTGGTAGAAATTGTGACTTTTTTGGCAGACTTATTTACAGATTTAAAGTCTATTCTTTGTCTATTTAGGTTGTATTGAGTGAGAACCAGATGAGGGGCCTTATCACTTACATATGGGCAATATATTTACTGCAATAGACATGTTTCATTATAAGAACATACGAATGAAGGCAACTGCAGAAGGCCTATTGGGCCATACGAGGCAGCTCCTATTTATATCCACACAATCTCATTCATATATAGACCTGTTAGTTAAGGGGCCAACAGCTATCCCCTAATGCATCCTTATTTTGTTTTTTGGAGGGTTATTTTTCTTGACTTATTGACCTAACACACATTGAGCTACAACTTTCACATATTCGAGTATGAATGCCAAGCAATGTTTATTAAAACATACAAGAAAATTTATTAATTAGAACTACCCATATTCATTGTCAACAACTTCACCTTCAATTATCTAAAATGACTTGTCAACCTTGAGACCTGATAAATTCAGTTTCTGACAGATTCTCACCATTTTCATATATTACAGTACAATCTTGATTCAACATACTATATGGGACCAACCCCACTGCAATTCGTTGCAAGAGGTGACCTTCAGGAGGCATTTGGGTCAGTGTCTTTTTTTTCTTGTACACAATAAAAATGCATTATCATATTATATACTGTACCTATATATTATTACCCTACTAAAAAATAGTTACATTTGTTATTTACCTTATTGTTAGAGTTATGTCCATCTTGAAGTCTCGTGGAGTTGTGAATGCTGTACAGTAAATATGTACTGTAGTGTATTATACTGTTAACACTGTGTTGATTATTAAGTAGTTCTGCTGTATGTTGAGTACTACAATACTGTTTATGAAAACTACTGTACACTAAAATTACTGCAACTTTAATTTTAACACTATGTACACACTTAAATTTAACACTTGTTCTATCTGTTCACGCCACACACAATGTTTAAGATTTTTGCATCAGCTTTGCTGCTCTGGCTTCAGCTGCTTCTGGGCTGGAGAACAGCACGGCTGTTCTCGTGCTGGTTGATTTTCTGCTGCAAGTTCTTGCAAAAATATTGCTTCATTTTTGGCATTAATAAGGCACTATTAGTAAGCCCCTGAGACATCTTGTTGTATAACAATACAGCTGTAGTCAAAAAATGGTAAATTCCCCAATTATTCTTCCACCGACGGTTAAATATTGTACGTCACTCACAGACAAAACTAAGGGCACTGGGTGCATACTGAACGAACGCAGACTAGGTCTATGCGTACACTATATAGTAAGCTGGTGTTTAAGCCAGATCCAGTAACAAATTTCACTCAAATATTCAATTTACATCAAATTATATAATTTTGGGTTATATATTTAGTTTAGCAACATTACAATAATAAGAGCTATAAAAAAATACTTATTTAAGGATTTATTAATTTTATTATTTCGAAGCCGTAGGTCACTGAACTGTGGTGATGAAATCGAACAAAACAAGCATGGTGTGTGGACACAGATTAGACCTGTCCACTCGCGCTGGACTTGAGCCGCCAATAACATGAATAATCAATCAAATAGCAGATATCTATCATATTACAGTATATTTTTAGTTTCATTTAGTTTAGTTTAATTAGGATAATAAAGAGTTATTAAAACACCAGTTTTAGAAATGATTTATTAATCTGAAACGTTCAAAGTCATGGGTTACTGAACTATGACGACAGACGAACGTGAGTGAAACCTCACTGTAAAGCGAGGTTTACTGTACAGTATTCCCTTATCTGTCCACCCTCACTCATCATCTTTCATCACAGAAAATATATATAAGAAGATTTTCAACACATTCGCTAGCTATTCACACTTCAGCCTTTAAATTAATTTACAAAGATGTGTGCCACAAATCAGTGAACTAAAATCAATGAAACTCAATCGTTCACTTGTGTGTGATTAATATGCTTTACTTGTTGTGTGGACCATTCTGGCTTGTGTTTGATTCACATGGTTCACTTGTTGTGTGATCCAACTTGTCTTATAAAGGAATTATTAATTGTAGATAGAATGAGACAGTTTTCCACCACTCTGAACTC